TATATATATATATATATATATGACCTATTTAAATGCATTACTTTCACATTTGTATTCTCTGATAGGAAACAATAAGATGAACACAAAATGACTGATTCATTCGTTTTGTGACGGGTTAATGAACTTTTGTGAGACTGGCGTGTCTGCCCACAGACAGACCAATCTTAAAAAAAAGAAGTTTCATTATCAATGGCAGGCGGTAACTTCTGCAAAGTAAAATGAAATGTTTGTCACGTTGATGTTGCTCTTCATATCTTCTTACATCATCTCTTTCTGCTGCACAGATGATTTCATGTAACTCCTACTTTTGACGAAAAGCGTTGAAGGCCCAGGTCAGCTGCATCAGCTAATAATTGCCGTGACATCAAGAATAAATTAAGAGGAAATGAAACCAAAAAATTCTGTTCCAGTTTTGAGTTTATGAAATCTGTTTGGTAGCTTTTAGTTTTGTTTGTTTTATAAGTTTTATTTACTCAGTTTAACAAGCCTTTTGTTCTGGTTGTGTGTATTTATAGAGTTTATTCATCCCCCATGTTTAGCTCATGTTTCTATATTTCCATTTACAGTCCTGGTTATGTTTCAGTTCCAGTTTGTGGTTATGGAGTTTTATTTAGTCCTCTCCTTCTCATCCTCCTGTGAGTCCCTCTCTCGTTGAATTCTCTTATTTTTTGGTGATGTTTGTTTTCCGTTTCCTGTTTTATTTTGGTACCTCAGGTGTTTTACATTTAGTTTTACTTCCACATAGGCTAAATTTGTTTCGGCTGCATCGCAATACTCTCCCTGATTACATCATTAGTGTATAAATAGTCCGGTCTTTCCCCTTGGTCTTTGTCTCGGTGTCTGTTTCATTCGAGGATTCACATTACTGCTTTGGACTTCTGTTGGTTTGATTTTGGATTATTTGTTTTCTGAATAAACTTCATAAATCAGTTTTGGTTCATTCAGTTTCAGTTTTCACTCTCAGGTTCCCCTCACCAGCAGCCCTGGATCCAGGAGAAGGGTGTAAGGGTGAAAGAAAACTGCTGGTAAGAGGAGGCTTAAATGGTAAAGTGACAAACTGGTGTCTGGAGCACAATGTCCACTAACATATGGTTGGTAAATAAAGCTATACTGGTAAATGCATGCAGTATCTAATACTGCAGGAAGAGTGGGGTTGGAGGGAAATTACTTTGAAAACATCCAAGTGCAACTCCAAAGGTCACTCTGTGATAATCATCAGAGCTCATCTCAAATGTTGGACAGGCCTGCATCTAGAAAACAAAGACACCATACTATTTTGCCAAAACTCCAACCTGAACACCAAATTAGAGAACTAAAAGTTTCCTCAAAGCAAAGGAAAACCAAAATGCCCCAAACCAAGAGGAAACCAAGTTTCACCAAACCCAAAGAATAAGCTGTGGCAATGACATAAAAAAAACAAGTAATGATAACACGTAACAACACCCATTCCAACTGTATTTGTCATATTCACAATTATACAAGTGTAATGCACAGTGAAATGTATGTACAAGACTGGCTGTACAAGTAATGAGGAAGGCATAAATAGAGAAGAATTCCAATCAACTATTTTTTGGAACACATTACACCTAAAATTACTTCTGACGAGAATAATTTGGTATGCAGAAGAGTTCATGGTTGATTCAGTGACTACGTTCCCAGGTACTGTGGCTGCAGAACAAGCAGTCCTTTACCACTGTGCTGACAGTTGGTATGAGGTGTTTGTGCTTATATGCTGTTTGGTTTTCTGCAAACGAGGTGCTATGCATTATGGACATTGTTCCAGAGGTCTTGCGGTTGTTTCAGGTGCAGCTTTGCAAACCTAACCCATGCTGCCATGCGAGAACAGCTTTCTCCTGGCAACCCTTCTAAATAAGCTAAACTTGTTTGTTGTCTTTTTCTAATTGTATTGTCATGAATTTTAACATTTGATATGCTAAATGAGGCCTGTAGAGTCAGACTACATGGAGTCATGTGAGATCTCACTCTCTTTTCACAAGATGGTATACTTACTATACATTATTTGAGGCATTCAGACACATCTTATGTTAGTGAAATACACTGGGGGAAAAATTAAAGGAACAAAAAAGGAAGAAAATAATGCTGGGTATCTATACTGATATGGACTGGGTAAGGTTTTAGAATGAAAGGATGCCACATTGTTTTTTTGGAATGATAGTTTTTGACCCACAAACGGGTCAATAAAGACACCCCGAAAATCTAGTCCATTTTGCTGAAATTTCATTGCAGCAACTCAAAATGGTACTCACACAAGTTTGCATGTATGTCTGACAATGTTGGGGCATGCTCCTAAGGAGATGATGGATGGTATTCTGGAGGATCACCTCCCAGATCACGACCATCACTGAGTTTCTGGACAGTCTGAGGTGTAACCTGGTGATGTCAGACTGATTGAAACATAATGTCCCATAGGTGTTCTTTTAGATTTAGGTCAGGCAAACCAATCAGTGCCTGCCTGTATACTCTCTCCACTAGAGACTGCACATTGGGTTGCACCGGAACCGAGGACCCACTGCAAGCGGTGTGACAGAAGGTGAAAGGATTTCATCCAGATGCCTAGCCTGTG